TTGGTAAACCCTCTGGAGAATTTGCAGTGGTATGTATTTAAATAAAATAAATTTGTGAGTGAAATACACTGAAGAGTGCTATAAAAAGCATAAATAATGCACAGTGTTCATTTATTACCAGATTAAGGGATCTTGGTCCAGTAAAAGAGGTAAAGAGAACTACAATCCATACAGCTACAGCAATATTTTCACCAACTGTTGTTCTGCACTTTGTGGGCCCCTCTCTCCCAGGTAAGACATATAAACCTATTTGGGTTACTTGGGGTCAGGGAAGCTTCATCCTAGTCCTATTATATTACTTATCACATCTTATTCTGTTGATTGCACTGACTTGCATTGTGTAATCTGTCTTGCACTCAATGAGAAATAAATAAATAATGCCGTTCTAAGCAGACTTATGCCCACTGATGTCCGTAAGCTTAGAAGGGTGCAACTCTGTTTAGGATTGCATTGTTCACGTGCAGGACCATATATGTTGTTATAGTTATTACCAGGGGTCATTTGGGGGGGGACGCGGGGGGACGCCATCCCCCCGGGTGAGGTGCGGGAGGGCGGGGCCTGGAGCTCCCTGCTGGTGCCCGCTGGAGGTCGCCGCCGGCTGTGGAGAGGACACACTTCCGGTGATGTCAGGGGGTGTGGCATATGCTAATGAGTCCCCCTAGCGCTTTTTCTACGAAATGACCCCTGGTTATTACATAGTCTTTGAATCATCCATTCACACATCGTGCACATTTCCTGGTGACTGCTAACCAGATACTGTGTAGGAGCAGGCACATTAGTTGTGCACCATCTACAAGAGTTTGGAAATAAATTACTAGGCTGTGATCTTTTGTTTGAACATAGTAGTTGATTTGATTTTTCTAGATTACATCTTAAAATGCACACTTCTTTTATTTTCTGATACAGCTCCATTAAATAAATTAGCAGTTACATCATGCTAGGTCCTCCCCCCCCAAACAAAAAAACTAAGCGGGCACATATGCATAAAAGTATACTGTAGTATCTTCTGTTAAACATGTGCTTTGTCACCAACTGTCAAGTTGTTACTCTGAGAGAATCTTATGCCACTATATAAAATTGTGTGTATTCACTTCGAGTCATTTTGAGAATGCTGTAAAATAAATAAATAAATTTGAAAGTGACTTCCATATTGAAGCTAACTTTTCTCTGTCATCTCCAAACTATACACTTATTGGGGGGAAAAAAAGCTCTATTTTTAACTAACAAGCTCCTGGCAGCATAGAACACTGTTTTACTGTTCACTGAAAAAGTGTTCTAATCTAAAGTTTTCATAACCAAACTTTTTATTATCTTATAGTTTGATTGACAGAAGAGGATTTATACAGCCAGATACTCCACAGCCAGCAGCACCTTCAAATGGCATTACAATGTATGGGGCAACACAGTCTCAAAGTAATATGGTAGGAACCATCCCATAATGTTGATCAAGAATCCTGTGAATATTTCCCTTCTCCACTCTCTTGTGAACTAATCAAGTCACTAAACTAACTGAATGCAACTGATACTCTCTAACAGGAGAAACATTCCATTAGTGTACTGCAGTAAGCTTATGGAGTAAGAAATCAAGATTTTCATAAGCACTGATTAAAATATTGCAGTATTCAAGCTAATGAACAGCATTAACTGCTGTTCTGCCTACAGAATCTTGAATACTAAATACTGAGGCAAATTGACATGTACAGGAAGCTGGGCCTATACTTTACCAGACTATTCAGGGGTCACAAATTGATTCTGGATATGCCAGTAGTCTGTGCTTTATATTTTAAATTATTTTCTCCATAAGCTGTTGACTGTCCTCTACTGTTTCTTACACATTTCCATAAAACTGATTTCAGCATTAAAAGATTTTAAGAGGATTTTGAATTTATTATGAACATTGACGTGGCTAGTGTACTTGCCTATTGCACAGTGCTAAGTGATGTTTTGAAAAATTGTGCCAATGACACCATGGTGTCTTTTTGAAGGCAGTACATTTTGATTTCCTGTGCCAACCAGCAGATAATAGCATAGGGAAAGTCTCCTAACTGAGAATCTTCATTAAGCAATGCATTGAGAGTGGTCCTTCTGCTCTGTACTGGTGTCCAAGATCATGGGGGTTAGATCTAACAATGTATTTTGTGAACAGCAGGTAGCATTAGATCCAGCCCTATATATTTTGGATGCATGTATTGCTACCCAGTCCCTGTGTAAGGGAAATAAATGCCAGTCCCAAGCATTTCAGACCTTTGTTTGTTAAAGCAGGTTTTTTATAGCTGTGGGAATGCTCTTTTTGTGTCTTATCAGAATATTATTTTTAGAATTGAGATTCTAAATTTTGTGTCCATAAAAGGACATTACTTCTAGAAACCCACTTGCTCAATGTACTAGTTAGGGAGATAGGAATTGCTTAATTTATCATTTTTTTATATTTGCTAGCAATATCTGTTTCCTAAATTTTAAAATCAAATGCACGTACGTGGCTCCCAATACCAATCATATGCCTTCATAACATTTTTCTTTAGTATTTGTTCAGCTACTTGTAGCCTTTTTAGTTTCAGAGCAGTTCCAGATGTTATGAATGTATGGGGAATGGAAATAAGGGCTGAATTATTTGCTTGCCTTATCTTGACATTAAATAGTTTCAGTGGTGTCTCTCTTTTAAGTCCATCAGTCACATGGGAGAACTTTGTCATTCTGTAGACTTTCATACAAATCTCTAAGAGATTGCCAATAAATCTGTACATTTAAACTTTGACTTCAAGTGTCAGATTATTTTACTGTTCCTTTTGTACATTTGACCTTAAGGCATTTTTTCCCCGCTGCTGCAGTTTTATGCTGTCCTTGGCTGGGTGATTGGAAGGAAAACCATAAGTTCTTTAGCCCAAGCAGGTTATTAGCAGTCTTGGTCCCCCTGCCATGGTTAGTAAATTTATGTGGATTTCAAATTCAGGCCAAGTCCCTCTACCATAGACTCATTTGTAGGCACTGAAGAGCGCAGATTTTGATCTAGAGCCATTCTCACCGTGGAGATGTTCAAGTTATTTACAGAAATATTTCCCTAGTTCACAGTTGTAGGTTATTGTTGGACGACTGTTTTCCCACTGTCTCTCCCTGAGTCATAGCACCAGTACTCCTGGTTTATACCTTAACCTTTTCCCCCCTCTGCTTCTTACCTTGCTTTATCTTCCAGCTGGGCAGCTTCATTGCTATTCTCCCTTTGGGGGTCTCTACTGTCCCCAAGTGTTCTGGATAAGCAGCCTTATTTTTTAACTTGATTGGATCATCACTAGATGATTACATTAGATTTAAATCAAGCTGAGCAGTTACGTCAAAATATAACAAGAATGTGATGTGCGTAAGAGGATAGGTGTGTTTTAAAAAAATGGAATATGTTCTAGTACTTTTATATTCTTCTGATAGTATTGAGAATTTTGTTTTTTTTTTAATGTTTCCACATAAATATATAGAACCTTATTTATTTATTTATTTATTTTTGACATTTTTACCCCGCCCTCCCCACGAGTGGGCTCAGGGCAGCTTACAAGGGGCAGAACCCACATAAAACATACTAAAAGCAATAAAACCAATAGATAACACAGATAAAAGTAAATGCTCCATGAAAACATATACATTTAGTAATCAAACAAAATATTCTGTAAGGGATAAAGAGAATATATGGGTTCTCTTGTACTACGGATGACACATTATATATCATATCAATTTATATAATTCTCAACATTTCCCCATCTGTGGATACTTAAATCTGGAGACTGGAGCCATGAACACACAAGACGGATTTTTCTATGAACTTGAAAAAGACTCAGGTTTTCAGAAAAAGCTTTTTTTAAAAAAAAAAATAGTGCATTAAAACAGTGTAGCTTTAAGAAACAAATGCCCCCAGTGGCCATTGCTAGGCAACCACACAGTATTGCTGGCCTTCCATCTTTGGTTTCTGACAGAAACAACAGGCATGGACTTTTCCAGAGCTGTTTGGCCTTTGAGGTAAGATTCATTAGGACCAAGCTCATCAACCACAACTGGGTGAGTTGCTAGCATCTTACTTGCATGACTCACCCAGGCCCAGCAGCCACCCCATGAAAGTCAGTGTGGTATAGTGGGTAGAGCTTTGGACTAAGATCTGGAAGCAGGTTCATATTCCCATTCTGCTATGGAATCTCATTAGGTGAGCCAGTTACATATGCTCATTGTAACCTACTTCACAGTGTTGTTGTGAGGAGAACTCTATATGCTGCTTTGGATCCCCATTGTGGAGAAAGGTGGGGTATAAATGAAGTGAGTAAATAGTGCATATAACTGAAGATGGGGAGTCAATAAAAGGTTGGTGGGTAGGTGAGTTTGAAGGTCAGGGTCTCAAAAATGACATTTAAAAAGAGGCAGCAAGATGTAAAGCTCAACTGATGTGATCTCTATTCCACCTGACAGACTTAACCCAAGTGGCTACTGAATGAAATAAATCCAGCACTTGTGAGAGAAACAGAAAAAGAACAGTAACTTTTATTTACTTCTCAGGGTAAGAGAATAAGGTGGTTCAGAAAAGAGGATAGAAACTACTTAAAGCTGTAACAATCTTGCTGGGCCCATTCATTTGTAACAGTACTGTTGATAATTTAGGAGAATAGAAGAGTTAGCAGCCAAGTTTGTATCCTTGTGGTGAATACTGGCCTCCCTCAGTCTTAGGATTCTCACAGCGTAAATGTGAGCTCTTCTCAAAAACACAAATCTTTCATTAGTTTTTCCTCAGAAATTGGGGCTTGAGACAGTAACCCGGGACAAAGCTGTAAGAAAACACTCTAGAGCCGAATTGAAGGCCTATGAGGTGGCAGTGAAAGTGGCAAAAACAGATTATTTTGCTGCCTCCATTGCATCCCCTAACTTGCAGCCAGCTCAATTATTCAGACTGGTTTGACAACTGACCACCCCTTGGGTGTGTCCTAAGACTGATACTGATTTGGCTCTTCGCTGTGATTCATTTGCAAACTTTTTTTATATATGAAGTCTCTAAGCTCTGCTTGGAGTTGGCGGCTGAATCTGATAACAGTGGTGGGATGGGGACTCCCCTTGCACCATCTAGTTCTTTTTTGGACTCTTTTTGCCTGCTCACCCTTGTAGACGTTTACAGGATCCTGACAGCTTGTGGCTGGTAAAATCATGTGATGAAGTGGTAGGTGGTTCTTTGAGACAGATTATTAATTCGTCTCTCTCACAGGGCTTTCCCCAGCTCCCTTCAGAATGTGATTGTTAGACCTTTGCTAAAGAAACCCTCCTTAGATAAAAAGAAGCTGGCCAATTACTGCCCAGTGTCTAGTCTACCTTTTCTGGGGAAGGTAATTGAGTGAACAGTGACCGGGCAGCTCCAGGTTTTCCTGGATGAGACATTTGCCCTGGACCCTTTTCAAACAGGCTTCAGTCCTGGCTTTGGGACCAAGACAGCACTGGTCACTTGGTTGACAATCTCCGTTTACATTTGGATAAAGGTATACTGACCCTGTTGATCCTTCTGGATGTATCAGTGGCCTTTGATACAGTTGACCATTTGGTCCTAATCCACTGTCTTGCCTCCCTGAGGGTAAGGGGCACTGCCTTTAGTTGGTTCACCTTGTTCCTCTAGGGATGCTCTCAGAGGGTTGCTATTGGGGAGGTCTTCCTGACGAGACTTAAATTGTGGGGTCCCACAGGGTTTGATCCTCTCTCCAATGTTATTTAACATATATATGCACCCTCTTCCCAAGATCATCTGGAGGTTTAGAGTTGGGTGCCATCAATATGCTGATGACACTCAACTCTTCCTCCTGCTCGATGGCAGCAGGGCTCTCAGGACTATCCCTAGTGCCTGGATGTGGTAGTCCAATAGTTAAGGGGGAGCTGCCTGAAGTTGAATCCATCCAAGATGGAGATCATGTGGCTGGGAAAGACTGAAATGCTAACTTGAGGGACATACCTGAGACTTGATATCAAGCTGACAGCTGTAGACTCTGTAAAGAGCTTCGGGATGTGGTTGGATTCTGCACTTTATCATTAGATAAACAAGTGTCAATGGTAGCACGGTCAGCATTTTTTCACCTATGCCAGTCCCGCTAGCTGGCTCCTTATTTGTTTGGGTCAGACCTTGCCAGTCTGCAACAGTCACCTCCAGACTGGACTACTACAATTCGCTGTACATAGGGCTACCCTTGAAAACACTTTGGAAACTGCAGGTGCAGCTGCCAGGTTGCTAACTGGAACAACATAGTCAGCTAGTATTGCTCCAATTCTGCAGCAGCTACACTGGCTACAAATTAGTCTCTGGATCCAATTCAAGGTGTTGGTGTTAACCTTTAAAGCCCTTAATAGTCTGGGACCCTCATGCCTATGGCTGCCTTAGGTCATCATCTAGGAGCCTCTTGCAGGTGCCCGGCCCCAG